GGAAAGCCCTCTTTGAGCAGTTTCAGAAATCCATTGTATTGATGAACCTAACATTTTTCAGGGCTCACAACTCAGCAGAATTAAGGCAGATTTTTCCAGTGGCTAGTTACAAAAGCTCCATCTCTGTCTAAAGTCAGCTTCTCTGTCAGATTCCATATCCCTTGTCCAAGGTCAAATATCTAGCTCTCCATAAAGCAGTTGTAAATTTATTTTTAATTTAGTAAACTGTATTTTTTTTCCTTTAGCATGTTCTCAGAAACCAGTGAGAAAAACTAGGTGACATGTTAGAGAGACAATTGCCTCCCAACAAAATTCTCCTTTAGAAAGGCAGTCGATACAGCTCATTCCAGCATAGTTAAAACCAGGGCAAAATTCTAAGCAGTAAAGCTGGAGTTTTATAATGAGAAGTACTGTGCAAATTTTGCTGTAGGCAACCTTTTCAGATCTATCAATAGTACAGTTAAACACAAATTGACAGATGAGACTTTCAGGATGGCCTTATTAACATGTGAATTAGTCTAGCTGAAGTCATACTGAAAAAGCTCTCCTTTAATGTGTTTTTTAAAACACCTGTATTTTTGTTTACTGTCCTCCAAATTCAACATGTTGCCACTTTTGTAAACCTCAGAAAGCTTTAGACAGATTTATACTACATTCCATGTGAACTGTGAGGAAAGGTGCTATCAGTGATTATGGACAAAATCCTGCCCGTACATGTGTGCGTGATTCCTGTTGGATTTAGTGAAGTTTCATGTGCATAAATGAGAGCAGGCTCTAGTCCTTAATCTGATGACATTTTTTTCTGTACAGCACGGCAGGTTAATAATAAAATGGCATCTCTTCATTTCTGTATTCTGTATGCTTCTTTTTTTTTTTTTTTTTTTTTGAAAGAAATAACTGCTATGTCTTTGGATCAGGTGTTAATTATTCCCAGTAAGGTTTGGTGGGTAACTAGTGATGCAGATATCAAACCACCCACTCTCTTTGTAGATGAAGGGAAAGTATCAGGAGGATTTCTGCTGAAGTATTCATCACATCTCAAGTCTCAAATTGTCCAAACCATTCAATTATAACACTTCACTCAATGCATGTCAGCATGTCTGGCACTGTGTTTCAAGAACGAGTTGAGCTGGATTTCTCAAAGAGGCAGACGTTGGCTTGTCCCCTTGAGGGACAACAGAAATAGAGTCTATTGGCTCAAAGTTGAGACTGGTTCCTGGATCAGTGCACGGGAACTCTGGGAACTATTACAGCTTTCTAACTTTGTAGCCTCCAGACTCAGTTCACACATGCATATGTAAAAGGCTGAGATTTCCTGTGGTAGCAGCACAAGCATCCTATTTGCCACCGAATAAATAGGTAAAGCACTGACCTGATGATGACATGATAAACAGGTCTGGGGATGTGGTGCTATCACTGCAGATCTAAGCCCATCCTCACCATTGCTTTAACAGTAAATGGAAGCAATGCCCAAAGGAGGAGAGGAAATCCTTTGAGTCCTTCAAGGGTTTTATGAGATTTTGTTGTTAACTGCAGAGATACAATACATCACTGTCAGGAAGCGGTGACCCTGGATTATGGTCACTGATTATAAAAAAGGCTTTCAGAGGCAGATGATGTCTATTATGTGGTGGAAAAACAAAAAGGGTGGCCAGAGAACCTCTGAGTGGATGGGGACATCATGTGAGCAGATACCTCCTTAAGCTCTTTGTGTTTGCTTTCTGTGCTTGGCCTGGGCTGTACATGTTCCCAGAGCAATGAAAAGGCAGCTCACAGGGTTTTTCGTGTTAATGTTCAATTTGATGTATCAATATGGTTCTGCTTGCACAGGCTATAATGAGCTCAAGATCATAAAGCTCTTATCAGCAACCCTGTTTAACTTTAAATGTAGCTCAGATGATTGAGGCTCCTCTTTACTCTCACTTCAGTCAGTTTTGACCTGAAGCTGTGGAATGACATTGGTGAAAATTTGCAAGGTCAGTAAATATCATTCAGGAGAATATTTCCAACCCCATCAACTGAATTTAGCCAATATCAGACTCTGTCTTTGTGTGCTCCATCCACAGTGCAGTCATGTTTGTGTCATCTTGTCTATTTTTAGCAGCAATCCTAACTGCAGAATTATTTTGACTAATAAAAATAAAATACTAAAAATTGTTTTCAGAAAGCCTTGTGTCCGTGGACAAGTCAGATAATGTGCAAGGAGGTGATGCTAACACAGGGCTGTTTCTTCTGGGAGCCTTACCAGCCTAGTCCATAAAAATGGAGGCTGGGCATTTCAAGAAAGGGCTCATCATGCACAGAAACAGAGAGAGGTACCTGCATGAATTCCAAAACAACAAAGCACATTTGAATCTGGCCTCTGGTGTGAGCAGAGGAGTTCAGATCTGCCTGCCCTGCCTGCAGACATGAGTCCTGAGTTGTTTGGGAGCATCTATCCCAAAAATTCCCACCCAATCAGCTCAACTACCTTAAAACCTATTCACGGGCTGTGTAGAATCGGTTGCCAGCCTGACCTAGTTGTCAAAATGGTGTCTCACGCTAAGGCTCTGTTTGTTACCACACATTTGTGTTCCTGGGGATTTCAGGATACCTGCTTCACTAGCATGACCAGATAAAATGCTATGTTTTTAATTAGGAGGAAAAAATAACAAGACAACAGACATCTGAGGGCAGTTTTGTTGAAAGCTAAATTGATGATGAAAAGCTTTCACTCTTTGAAACCATTCAATAGCCAGGTGTTTTCTAGTGGTTCTTCAGTGCATTTCACTGCTGCATGTCAGTGTTACTTAGCACTATCACATTTACATCAAGTCAAATGCTGTAATGCAGAGAGTATCACCATAAGGAATGAAATGTGTCAGCCTGCATACAGGGATTCTCGGAAAATATGTGCCTTTCAACAATCCTGCGGCTTTTATACAAATTCTTCTCACATGTTTGCTACCCTAAAATTCACAGGTAATTACAATGGGATGAATAATCCACATTAATCAGGTAGCAGGTATTTGAGATCCAGCACATCTCCTATCAGACAATGCACACGAAAATACAGTAATTGAAGCTGCTGAGAGAATTCCCCACTGACAATGTCTATGTAAATCCACTGTAAAGAATAATTCTATGATTATGTAAAATTTGAACAAGTCCTTTTATCTTTAAAAGAATGCTGCACCTTATTTCACTTAGCACACCAATCTGGAGGCCCACAGAGTAAGAAGCAAATTGTCACAGGGTCCAATCCTATGGGATTCACAGAGCCAAAGCCATTGCTGGTGTAACGTCGGTGACTGCTCTTTAGTCCAGTTGTCATCTTCCTGCAGAAAACTCCTCTGAATTAATGTAGCATATCCATTCTGGGCTCCACAGCACCCTAAAGCTCTTCCTCTACCCCTCTGCCACCCCACATCTCAGTATTTCTTCCTGTAATGTTTTTTTATAGCTTTATCCTAACAACTTTCTGTTTGTGTTTTGTTTATTTTTCTATGGTCGGATTCTCACGTTGTATCAACCTAGCTCAAGTCTTAAATGACACAGAAGGGCCAGTATGATGTAGCCCTACTCTAGTGTGCACCCTAGCCTTAGCAGAGTCCCTCTGACATGGGAAATTGTCAGCAGGGTGTTTATAAACCCCCTGAAATGGGACAACAAAGGGAGCAGGTGAGTCAGGATCTTTCTAAGCTTCAGCAGAGAAAATGCCACAGGAAATGGCACTTAAAGGGACATTTCTGCTGATTAGGGTACTCACTCTTGAAACTCATAGCTGACCTTTTGTAGAGTTTGAGGTCCTCCTTACTGGAAGGGTAGGTCAACACCCTGAGCCCTTAGCCTACTAGGAAGAGAGATGTGAAAAGGGTTTCCCCTCATTGTCTGAAGGTATGTTCAACTCTGCTTTTCATCTCTCAGGCAAACACTGCTGTTTCTTCATGCTGTGCTTTGGGAGCTTGTGTTGTGTTGTGTTGCTCTGCTGGTAGGCCACACAGAGGGGTTCTGAGAGGCAGATAGTTATTTGGTTCTGTGTACTTCACAGTATGATCTTCCCTGGCAGTGGAATGTGGATTTTCATCCTGTTTGAGTGAACATTCATGTAACTCTTTAACAAATTGTGTTGTTCTTGCTTTGTGTGCTCTAACCACAGGTCTGGATGTGACTTGGAAAGAGGGCCACTAGCCATGATTCATGCTAAACATTGGAGGACTTTGCAGGATTCTGCCACTGTCAAACAGGAACTGTGAGGTTCTAAACATTGCATGTAAGAGATGCAGTAGGACTTAGCAAGTTTTCTGTCTAAAGCCTTTTCTCAGAAGCAGTGTGCCACACAGGAACAAGGGGGTGTGATGCACTGGAGTGATATGTCAAGTCCAAAAATTCTCTTTCTTGGCCCGGCAGCCACTTGCTGAAGTTGAGTTCAGGCCAGAGGACCACAGAATGGGTAAGGCTGAAGGTACCACAGTGCCAAGTGTTCCAAACAACCTGAAAAAGCAGGGTCATCCTAGAGCACATCTCACAAGGTCAGTTTGTATCACTAAGACTAGATGAGTGTCCTGCCGTTACTTCTGCAAGTTCTGGGCAAGGAGACAGGGAAGCAGCATGGCCTCACATGTCTCTTGACATGAGTTTTCCAAGAGAGCTGTCTGTAGGAGGAGCACAATCCCTCATCTGATCCCTCAGGAGACTGTGAGAAACAAATTGAATATAAAGCTAATAAAACAAATCACAGCTTTGTTGAAAGGCACATGAACAGTTCCCAGACAGATTCTCACTCACCACCCAAAAGTTGCCTTTTTAATCCATGACCTTGCTATAACAAGGTCATGGATTAAAAATATATATCTGTATTAAAAAGATATATCTGTATATCTGTTAGTGACTGTCCCATGAACTTGCACTGGTGATCATCCCATATACCCTGGATATACTGTATAATATTCCATGTAGTCTTTGCTGGGCTAGAGCCTAAAACCATCGTGCACCAAAAAAATCATCTCTTCTTTTCACAGGTTTTCAACTTAACCATCTTGGCTACAGGTTATGATGAAGAAAAAAAGACAGAGAGAGAAACTGTGGTGCTGTGGTAATAACTGAAGTTTCTTTGGTAAACTGGGGAAACTGTTCTGGATTTACAGTGACAAGACTAAGACAGATATCTCATCAAAGAGCAATTTTGTGAAGAAGAGAAAACTCACCAAGAGAAAACACTGGAGTGGACATATATCTCTCAGAACAATACCAGTCATAAGCCTAAAGGATTAAAAGACATGAGCAAAAATGGCATAATCTGGCTAGAGACATGGGAGCTGGAATCAGTGGCTTTATTCAGCTACATTACAGCACAGTTAGGGCCCAAATTTTCACACTGACACTCTGTATGCTGCAGCACATTTCTAGCTGGACTATGAAAACAAAAGAAGCCCTGAAAAAAGCTGAGGTTTGTAACAGAACTATCTGAGTACCTTTCACCAGGGACTGGCTGCTGGGATGCTCTGTAGCAGCAGCAGCATTGGCGACTTCTCCAGCTTCCCGTCTTTGGACTAAGGATGCATAATGACATATGACTGCAGCAGGGCTGGAATGATGCAGGGGATGCGATAACCCACTGCCCAGTCCCTCTGCTATCCAGGCGGTGCAGGCTGCGCTGCGTGCACGCTGCAGTGCCATCCCTGAGCTCTCACAAACAATAATCAGGTCTCTTACAGCCAGAAAAGCCCGCCAAGGCCAGCAGTGACAAAATCACAGCAACACAAAATAGATTAAGCATATTTTTTATCCTATTTTTGAAAATTTTCCTTTCCCCATTTCTGACTCATCTGCAGCCTGAGTATTTTCATCTTCCAGCCGGTTACAGAGATCCTCTGGGAAAGGGAATAGTTCCATACACACAGCTTCTGCTTCTCTCTCCCCTGCAACAAATAAATATCCTCAAGCTCTTCAATTTACTTCAGAGTCATCAAGCACAGTTTAAAATTTAACCTGGTAATGTATTTTTAGAGGGATTCTTGTGTAAAGTTTGTGCATGTGTGTACACGCATGTTTGTGTGCCTGCAAGTATTTCTTCCTTCTGTCCCAGACAAAGCCATCTCCATGCAATTTGGTTAGCAGCTTCCCTGAAATGACTGTAATGCCCCTGAAGTGTTCAGGCATCATAAAATCCTCATACCACAGATGGACCAATTTTGGAGGCAAGAGGAGATATGTGTGTGTGTGTGTGTGTGTGTGTGTGTGTGTGTGTGTGTGTGTGTGAAAATCTTTCTGGGCCTAATTCATATGGGCAGCCAAAATTAGTAGGTTTACCAGTAATGTTAAATTATTTAAAAAATTGTTTAGCTGCTATGATGACAGCCAGGTATCCTTCTATATTGCTTTCTCTTACCAGATGCTGCAGAGTGAAAGTGTTTCTAGTTTTGTTCCATGTTTTCTAGCCTTCTTTTCGACTCTAATTTCCACTTATCATCCTCCTCCTCTGTCACTGAATTCTTCTGCAGGGAGAAGAAGAAGTCCCTCCTTTCGCAGGGACTCATCCATGAGGATACTAACTTGCATCTTTACTGCTTCTAAATTTCAGTTTTCCCTTTTACTCTGCTCTATTTCCATATGTCATTTTCCTTTTCTGCCTGTCTGGGAGTTGCTGTACCTAACTCTGTAAAGCATTATCTCTCCATCTCTCTAAAGTGTTTTGTGGTACTTTGTGTGAAGGATGGCATATAAAAATAAATTGTATTGCACTGTATTTTTGGACTGGCATCTAATCTTTACTGAGCTCATTCAGCCTATTTCTGAAAAACATTGGATCTTAAAGACTCTTCTGATCCAATGAATCTTGATGACTTTTCTGATCCTAGAAAAAGACTCCCTAATTTTCAAGTCATCTCCTGACACTAACACAGAGATAGGAGTCAGGCGAGTACCTTGAAAAATATGGTTTGGCAGAAAAATATTCCTGGAACTCTTCCTTGTCTATCGTGTGTCTTAACCTCACCTCTGGCCTCCACCCCACATTTTACTTGCAAATGTCCACCATTATGAGCGCCGAGGTGGGGGGAGCGGGAAGCAGGCTGATGGCATTCGGCACTCGTAGTGAAACAATCCAACAGCTTGCTTATGCATCTATTTGGCTTAGGATGGGAAATTAGAACAGCTTTAATCTGCTAGCAGCATCAAGCAGGGAAGCACTCCCTGGAGTGAAAGCGTTAGGAGCATCACAGCAGGGGCTGATGAGAGACAGCCTGCCATGGTGTCACAGCAAGGCAGTAGCACTCGACGCACAAAAATCTGGGGTGCTAAGAGGGACCCATGTACCTGGCTCGGAATTGCAGGGGGAGAGAGAACAAACCTTTGTACTGGGGTCTTCTGCAATGGGAAAATGCTTTCAAAGACATGCTCCCACATTACTGTCTTTGCTCTTTCCCCACTTTTACCCTGTCACATCAAGAATTTCGTCCCTATCTTCTCATCCACAATACACCTGTGCCATTCTAGTTTGTCATGAGAGCCCATTTGACTCAGAGAGCTTCAGCATAGGTATAGCCAGCAAAGGTATAGCCATGTGAAGGAGTCAGGATTTAGCCTGAGTCTGGAAAACACAGGGAGCAACAGCCATACCTTTGCATTTGTTATGCAAAGCCTGAGTATGTTTGCTTTCCAGCCAATAAACCTATTCATAATTATTAAAGAGTAAGACCTGAGTTACTAAGGAAAAATGTAGGGTGTAGGAATCTTCCTTGCTTGCAGTGAGACTCATTGAACTTTGCAGGACTGTTCAAATGCCTTGAAATTTGAGGGAAATCTTTAGCTTGTGACTTACTGTAAAAACATCAGATTTGAGGAATCCAATGTCCTGGAAAGTTGTCCTGTATGATCTGTTTGTTGCATTGGTTCTTTGTCACAGACAGTGCCCCTGGAAAGTAACTCTTCCCTTACTTACAAATGTGCTTTACTACAGCTTGGCTGTACTCTGTGGATACACATGGGAATGTAAAGGTAGGTGCTGCACATACATTCACAAGGCAAGAGCTGAGACCTGTGAAGACAGCAAACATATTAAGATCTTACAAAACCAAGAAACATTGAATTTTGCAGTATAAGATATGCACCAGCTGAAAACTGGAGCTAAGACCCAGTGGCAAGAAATGCCTATTTTTTTGTTGTTGTTTATTTTTTTTTCTCTTGGGAATTCTGTTTGTAATGTATTAAGACAAACCAACACATGTACAATAATAAAGTTTAGGTGGGAACTTTAGCCAAAGTTGATTATTATCCGCCTTATGTATGTGTCTGGAAACAGAATGTATTATTGACTCTGTCTTGTGTTCACAGATGGCATTTTCCAGTCTCCTTGAAGTCTCTATTCTTGTTGGAAATATTGGGATGTTACCAACAGTGATAGCCCTGCCATTCTTCTTGCTGGATGTCAAAAGCAGCTAGGACTTCAACTGTAAGCACAAATGCTTTCGAATCATTCTGTGTTCCTGTGAACTTCAGACCTGGAAACCAGCTATCAGACAGTCTGTAGCAAAACCCCATTACCTTGTCCAACCTCACATAGGTCTTATATGTCCCACTTCTGGTAATGTGTGCAAAATTGTGCTCATGTTTCTTGGTCTCTTCTCTCCTCATTTCATAGCTGCTGACAGCTGTTTCCTCCTCAGCTAGTTATCTGGAAATTAATCTGAAAGTGAAGACTTCTCAAGCCTTCCTCTACACAATGTACCCACAAGGTCTCTGAAGACAAATAGTGATTCACTGTTCTTGCAATGCTCTGAGGGTGACGTGGAAGGTGGGAAGTTTGCTGTTCATATTCTGAAAGCATCAGGTGCTGTCTGCTATCTGCATGGGCCAGCAACCATCAAACTAAGATGGAGTGAAGAGTGTGTGAGCATGGCTAAGTGGGGAATGAAGGCAATGCTCCTTTCATCAAAGAAGGTCTAGCTGCTCGAAAGTTTTAGAAAAAGCTGCTGGAGAATGATAGCTATGGAGACTTTATTCTTGTTCCTTAGCAGAGACAACAGGGATCGGTAAGGTTAAGTATAAACCTCTGCAAAGTTATTTTAGCATACTGTACGGTCAAACTGTCAATAGAAGAGCATGTCTTGTGTAAAATGGACTTAATGCATCACCTGTATGGTGTGGAGGCAATTTCAGCAAGCTCAGAAGTGGTTACCTCCCCTAGAGAGTGGACCGCTTTCTCTTTAGAGCTGTGGCCACTGCTGCATGCAGGAGCATGGTGGAGTGAGTCTTTTCCAAATGACTGGAGCACTCTTGAAAATAAAAGCTCAGACAGTTCTCCTTCAAGTGGCTTGTACAGATTAGTTCTAGGAAAAAGCAAATGGCTCAAACTGGCCTGCTCCTAATGACTGGATGGGTGATGTGAGGAGAAACGAAGAAAAAGCTAGCATTTAGCAGCATCATCCCAGTTTCAAGTGCTCATAAATACCTTTGGAGATGCACTTCAGCATCTTTCAGAGACATTGTCATCATGCTTTCAGTGAAATCTCTGAAACTCCATCCCAGTCACCAAAATAATGTCACTTAGAAAGGATATGTTTTTAAATATTTCAACAGCTCATGTGCAGTATTTCTAAAGATTAATGACACAGAAGACACCATTCATTCTCTTTCTCTGTAAATGAGTGAGTAAATAGTAGTGATCATTAAAACAAAATATAAAATAAACTAGAAGTGCAGAACACCATAGCTGCCTAATTTTTATTTTTTGTTTTCTGTCTGGTATTCGTATTGTGGGATGAACCTAAAACTGAAGAGCTCTTGCTTTGATAGTTTTCCAGTTTCCAAGGACAGTGGTAATTATTTTTACATCATTTCCAAGGGTGTGTGAGTGCTGCCACTGGAGTTCACAGGATCACAGAATAGTTAGGGTTGAAAGGGACCTCTGGACATCACCCAGTTCAGTTCCCTACAACCTACATCATAACAATATTAAACAAATATACTATTCATACCATCAGGAAAAAGCTGTGGTTTTTGGAATTTGAACTGATATGATGATCTTATCCACTGAGAAATTTCATAGCAGTAGTAAACTTTTGCTTTAATAATGTTTATACAACCTTCTCTCCCCATCAATTAATTTTACCAGACTAAATTCTTAGGAGATCTAACTCTGACCAGGTTTTCCTATGCAACCTTCTAAACTCTCTTCCAAAGAAAGTTCTTGCACTCCCGAATGGTCTAAACAAAGTAATTTGGGTCATAATTTATGTGTTTATAATACCCACAAACCATATTTCTCCTTTTGTTTGAAATATCTTACCAATCTTATGAATCTTTTATGCTATCTTTTATTGTACTGCATTTACATGCTTATAAGTTTCAGATTTTAAATTAATAAAGGTCGTAAAAACACACCACTAAGTACTATATCAAAAAGTAGTTAATACTTTTTGTAAGTTAAATCTTGTGAAATCAACTAGGCTCAGCTCTTCAGATATATTCTCTACCTAACGTGTCGTGATGTTAGTCGGAAGGCTTGTATCCACCTTCAGCATCCAATGCAAATGCTCTGAAGTCAGTAGAAAGACCCCGTGTTGGTGCCACCGAGCTGTGGTTCAGCCTGTCATTGCTGGAGAGCAATAAATTCACCCGAGCAGATGTGTCTGAATCAGGAGACCAAGCATCTATAAGGACCTCTCCATCTGGTTCTCCACAGTAGACATTCCTTCACTTTGTCTCTTTTTCACAGGGAGCATCAGTGGTATCCATGGCTGTCACTTTGTACTTTGTTTTACGATCCCTTTGTAGAGTGGCTCATATGCTAAAGCCAGACTGAAAGCAACCACGTGTGTTTGACTTCACTCAGCAGTGTGAGAGTGTGAATCTTCAGCCAGGCATCACCTTCAAAACTGCTATTGAGTAATTAATGTATAATTGTGCAACTGGCAAGCAAATAGCTTTAATAAAGGAATTTGCAGTTACATGTTCAGAAAACAGTGAATGATTTATTATTTTACTCAAAGCTGAAAGCAAATAATCTTTGACTTGATGATAAGTTACCTAGTTGTAATAGGAGGTGCTTTAGGACTGAAAGAAATCTTCTTATAGTTTTCATCCAGTCAAGAGCCCAAACTTACATCAGAAAATAATTAAAGACATACCAAAGACTGGAGCCAATTTGGTTGAGAATGGACAGGTGCTATATGATTTATTATGAGCTAAGGTACTGTTCTCTGCTGAGTTATTGTATTTGTTATTATTATTGACTTTATGCTTTGAAAGAAGTAAACCTTAAGCTCTAGAAGTCTAGAGTGGAAGCTGACCGTCTGCACTCTTTTTGGTCAGAGTAAACATTTTGCCCCGTTTCTGTATGTATCTGTTGTCCCACTGAGCCTTTCTTCTGTCTCTAAGGCCTGACTATGGCACAGAAAGCATTGTTTTGCCTGTTGGATTGAATGCATTCAAAAAAACTACAAATAAAATGATTCTATCACCCAAGAGGACTTACCTCTGATAGTGTTCAGGCTGCCCAGTGTATGCAGCAGCCCACAGCAGAGTGCTCCTCCTGGCTAAGCCATTCCTCTGAACTTATGGAGTGTCCCTGGAACTAAGCTTGTGACAATACAACAAGGAAAATGTAAATGTACATAATTAATGTAAACATTCTTTTATTTCTCAGCAGTAGGTTTCTTGTCAGAACTTGCATCCTGGACAAGAAGCACTGGTGGAGATGCAATGAGTCGACTACCCAAAGCTCTGAAAAACCTCTCCACACAACCCACGTCTTTATAACAGACAGAAATCACAATGTCTTGTGTGCATCTGCACACCACATGGGGCTTGGGGTATTTAATTTGGGTTATATACACAACATTTACACTGGGTATCACTGAAATAAAGTGGGTGTCAGTCCTAGTGAAACTGTAGAAGGCTGATTATCGTGTTATCAGGACCAAAGTTAATCAGTAACTGAGGTGGTAAACATTCCGTGTTTACTTTAGTTCTCTTACTCTTATATTGATCTATTTGTAGTTTTGCATGTGTGGTCCTTGAATTTGTGGAATCATTGCATCATTTTTCCGCCCTTTCTTCACTCATATGTTGAGTAGGGCCATACACACTCTTCTATTTTAATAAAATTTTCTCATTTTATCAGCTATGAAGCAAGGAAGTGGTGAATATTCTAGGCCTTGCCAGCAGTCATTTAAGGTCCTGTGGCTTCCATGTTCATTTGACACCAGCACAGTTGAAATTGTCATGAACATAGAGCTGACTTACATACAAAATACAGTCTCTGGTGATCAACCAGCTGAACGTTCAGCTGGGGTCTGCTGAATCTGAGACATTCAGGAAGGAAAAAGTACCGAAGCAAAGAAAAAAAGATAGTTCCTATTCAGTTTTTTTCACCTGGGTTTTCTCTGTGCAAGCTATGTTTTCCTTTTCATCTCAGGGTAGGCAGAAAGTTTATTTTGATGATGAGGACCTTGTTGCATACACTGGTTAGTATAGACAGGGCAATTATCACTAGGACAACCCAGCCAGTGTTAACAGTCCCAAGCAAGTTTTGATTTACATAAACTGGTGACCTCCAAAAAGTGCCCTCAGTCACTACAATTGATGTAAAGTCCTTTAAAGCTCGAAGTTCAAGGACCTTTTTCATTCTTTTTGTGTGACTTGTGACACTGCAGAACCGAAACAGGAATCTGGCTATCAACTGGATTTCATTTCACAATCTATATACTCCAGCACAAATAGTCACCACCAAGAAATCCATTACAAATTCAAGTCCTGTAGAGCTTCATTGTTGTACTGACAACATTTATCATGAGCTCTTTGCAAAATCATATGAGATTTCATAACAGGTGTCCACCTCACACAGGTCATCACCACTGTGGCCTGTGTCAAAATCCATTATACAATAGCTGAAAGCTGTACATACGTGTTGCCAGCTACCTCCTCTTGCAATGTGTGGTGGAATGCAGTGAGAGATAAGCAGGAGACACAAAGTTTAGATCTGAATTTTCCTTTGCATCTGAATTTCATCCTCAAAGGTGAAAAAGAGATGGCAGCACTGAATGCAGAGTTCTATTTTCAGTCAGCGTTCTGTTGCAATACAAAGAGATTTAAAAAAATAAAAGTACCATGAGCATAGAGTTTAAATAAAAATCCAACACATTATATTATTCTTTAGTGGCCACTTTTAAGCAAAACATAACCATATAAAATTCTACTCATTCTTCCTGAATTTTGTTCCAGTCTTGTCAGACTGGGCCTACTTGATGTGTAATGAGTCTCTTATCTGACATTTCCTATTGTCCCTAGTGGTTGTAAAATCATTACTCCCGAGAAAACAAAGTTTACATGTTGATAAGTGGTGAAGGGAAGAATAAGACTGTGATGAGAAACTGCAGCTACTCTTCTCACTTCTCTCTCATGCTCAGTCTCCAACAGGAATAATTCATATTCTTGCAATTTAGAGAAAAGTTTCCGAGTCCTCTATTTAGGAACATATTTCAGTTTCTCCTGGGAGGTGAAAGCAGTTTGCTGTGAAATGCTTCAGACTCTCACAGTGACTGATTTTCTGCTTCCTTCTCTTGGGGTAGAATCAATGATGGTGGGGTAGGTTCCAAAAAATTTATTGGAATAGTGAAAAAAAAAAGACAAAAATAGTTGAACCCATTTAATAGCTGTGATATCATTTTACTGGCTTCCCCTATCTGCAGGGCATATGTCAGTGGTTGATTTTGTGCTTGGAGCACCAAAGGAATGGTCTTTAAAGGCTTTTTCCATCCCAGTATCAAAAAGAGCACCCCAGAGACTGCTGTCCCTGATGTGATTAACCACTGAAATGGTACTTGCAAACAGGGTGATGAAAACCTCTGAAGTCTGCAATAAAGTGACGAGGCTCAAAGTCACCTTGAGACAGGGAAAAAAAGAGTCCTAGAATTGGGAGTAAAGATGTGCATTATTTATATGAAATACAATCCAATAATATATTAAAAGTAATATTGGAAAATATCTTTATTACATTTAGCAGTTTTTTTTTTTTTTTAATGGATTATTTAAAATGATTTAGCTTAAAATGGGCATATAAACAGTGCTTAGGTTCTGAAGAAAGGAACATCAATTCATTTTCTCCAGATTCTTAATGCACACATGTATTTGCAGTGCATTGCCTATGCAAGGAAATTATTTGCTAAATTAGCAAACAATACTTGCTCTGTCAAATCCAGTTTTCACATCTTAACTTTCAGTGATGGTCTTTCCCAATTGGACCTGCATCATCTCCTATTATCACAGACATCAAGGATATATGTTTTGGAGTACATCATGGCATTCAACAGGCTTTGTCTTTCTCGGACCAGTAAAACTCCCAAGTGAAAGTATTTCTCCACCAACCACCACAGACTGAAAGCAGGGCTCTACATCCCCAGATGTACCTAATTGTTATGGTGTCATACAGAAAAGGAAAGACCACTATCAAAATTTAGAGATAAAAAAATATATCTCTGAAAAATGATGAATCTCAAGGAGAAGTCAGTTCTGGTGATTCATGGTGTAAATATGTGCATATCACTAAAAATGTACCTATCCATTTTTTCCATGACCTAAAGGGTAGGCAAAAAGCAGTTTCCATTATTCTGCCTCAGGGATCTTGCAAAGAAAAAGCTTTCTTTCTTAAAAACATGTCTCATGAATATTATTTGGGAAAACAAATACTATCAGCACACATAACCTACTCAGCTTTATGGGTCTTCTGTCAGTGAACCTGACATTTAACACCAACTCATTTTGGATGTTCCAGTTATCTACCTCACAAACAAACCAGGCTGAAAGATCCCAAGAAAAACACTATTTTGCAGAAATGAAGCCCATCTGCTTCCCCCTGTCCTTGTTGCTTCCTTTGGCTGTAGCATGAGAAAGTATCTAGTATTTCTGCTGCCCCACTGCGCTGCAAACCAAACGCATCCCAAGATCTCAGGCAGTGACCCTGGGACAATTGTCCTGCTGGCAGCAGCTCCGTGACACCGCGCCATTCCACCTACCCCAGATAGGAAAAAAAATTGTTTTCCATACCTCAAGCAGGCAGAGGCAGTCGGTTTGAATAGCTGTAGTTCCTCAGCGTAGGTGAGGAAAAAAAAGGACAAGAAGAACCAAAAATAGCACCTTCTCTGAGAGCGTGCAGGGCTTGATTCTTCCACAGCGCGCTCTATCAACCGCGCTCCACAAAATGGCAGCTGGCTGGCAGGCAGCAGCCTCCAAGAAGGATGAGGTGGTACTCCCTGGAAAATTAAATAGCTGGTATGGAGCTGCAAATCCTGCAGTGCTGGCTCCCAAAATGCTGGCTCGGGGTGGGGTGAGGTGTAGAGGGAGTGTTGTCATGCAGGGCTGGATAGCCTCAGGGACATTTGCACGGGAAAGGAAGGAGATGTGGAGCTGGGATAGGATCATGTGGGTTCTGCTCTGAAGTCTTGCAGCCCAGTGCTTTTAGAGCAGTACATTTTCCCTGCTCCGGCTCCTGAACAAAGAAAATTAATGAAGTGCCATTAGTTGACTACTTAACGTTTCAAGCATTTTCCCACCTTACATGTATTTTTTTAAAGAAAATCTCAGACGCAACCAAAAAGCATGCTAAACTTTTACCCACTTTTTGAGCAAATGAAAAGTGCAGAGGGTAAGGGAGAGAAAAGCAAAAACATTTTCAGTTCTGTTTGTGTTTTAATTAAATGTAATGGGTCTGTTTCCAAGATTTACACCAATCTCTTTTTCAAAGTGGAAAATGGCACAAATTTCGCAAATTCCCTCTTAAAATGACCCTGAAATTAATAAGCCTGTGATGTTGATGAAGTGTTACAGATTTTTATTAGACAGGATCTGAACAGCTTTCATTTCATGCTCTTATGTCTTCATACCTGTGTTGGGTGCAGCTCTCAATGTGAAACTCTGAACTCAGTAATTATAGTTAAAAATTGTGTCAGAAGGTTTTAAATTTCAGAGCAAAAAGAAGCAGAGAAATGTGCCACAGCCATATGAGAGACACAGTCATTTTGTCTTTGCTTGAGAAGTCCCAATGAAAAGATGAAATTGCACTTGGGTTAAAAAGAAAAAAAGTAGGAGCAAAATTTGGCCCTGGTTCTTGGAAAATCTGCCCTTAATTTAGCTGAGAATAAGGATGCCTCCTTTCTAAATGAATGGGGTATGGCAAATTCGCTGGTGTGAGAAGAAGCTTGTATAACATTTTAGCTACTGGGCAATATATTCTCTGCTAAAAAAAATCTTACAGTGCCTCCTTAAGTGCAAACAGAGGTAGCCAGCAGACAGTGTACAACATGTGTAACTCTGGGCACTGAGAACTTTGTGAGTCTGCCAAAAACTCATCTCATTAGTGCGCTTTGCAGCTGTAGAACAACCGTTTGGCTGAAATGATGTAGACTGAATATAAAACCATGTCCTGGAGGTGAAAGGCCCAGTGGAGGGAGTATGCTGGAACTCCATGCACCTGAATGATGTTCTAGGAATTCCCTGGTCAGGGTACAAAAATTCATCTGCACATCTTGATACCCAGCTTTGACAGGAAAAGGTATATTCTCTGCAAAGAGGTCTTTCTTTGCAGCTAGCTCAGTCCTGGAGCTGTGAGGCTGGAACAGTACATCTTTTATACATAGCACTCACAGACCTGATATACTTGCATCAAGAAGGAAATTAAGACAGCTGCCTGTCCCATAGGAGCACAAACTAAATGCTGGAGCCCAATACATTTATGCAATGTTTTATACACCTCCAAAACACAAAAGCTGTCAAATCACAATTTTGGTGTTTTTTTGAATTGTTTCTTACACACTGTCAGGGTTTTGTGCACCATTCCTTACATTTAAAGAAAGCAATACAGACTGATTTCTGACATGCACCCTCCTATCACATCTATCAGTGCAGTACAGTGAGTGTTAAATGAATGTCACCACAGAGCCTCTCTCTCTCTCTCTCAAGTTTTAAATTTCCCTTGCTAGTGTAAAACTTAATGAAAGCCCTGGAGTATACAATAGCATTTTGAAAACAGGAATTTGTGACTGCTGTGAATCATCACTCACAGCAGGGACCCAGAAATGTGAATTGTGGGAGGAACAGGCTCAGTCCCCCTCTCTTTTTTACTGGGAATTTATTACAGGCGTGTCATTATTTACAATGCACCATTCACATCCTCTAAAGAGCCAATAAACTGGCTGCTGAATATGCATTTTGCTCTGTGGTGAACACAGATGTTTCCAGCTAATATCCATTTCATTTAATTTCTTTTCTTTAAAAAAAAAAAAAATCTATCTTGCTATTTCTGTAGCAGCTGGGTAACTATTTGCCAGTCTTCGGTTTGGGAATCACTCCTCATATTTATTATAGTTGGTGCCATTTGTGTTGCACAAAGTGGAGGTCTGTCCATATTACCAGTCTCTGCCTGTGTTTGCAGGGGTACCAAATGTAGTTGCTAAAATTCTCTCACAGTTTAAAGAAAAGGCCGCTTGAGGATTCAGCACAGGTTCAAATTTCACTAATGATATGTGGCAAAAATAGTGTCAGATGTTTTTGTGTTCCAAGAGTACATCAGAAACCCCTGGTGTTTGAGGGGGATTTGTTTTGATTCTGCATTCCTGCAAGTAAAATATATTGTTGATTCACAACTGACAGGTTGATGGTCATTAATTTACAGTGCCTTCATGTATTAGTAAGAGAAGGAATAGGGAATTATGGTGAGCTGCAGAAGGTTTGTAAGTTCAACTCAGATAATCATTTCTAACTTTAGATACTTATCTCTGCTAGCATTGTCCCCTGGGATTGCAAAGCTGGTCTGTCATTTCTGTGAAAAAAGACTCTCCTGAGGTCTTAGTTTCCTGCATCTTGTCCAGCTGGAATCTGAAAGTTCAAAGGTAACTAATAAATACATTTCTGATTATCATCATCATTATTATTCACAGTCCTATAGCAATTTTTTTAAAGCCCCACAAGAGCTGTGGTTTCACACAGTTTGAATACGGATAATGGCAGAGGAGGTGGCAAAGAGGGGCTCACGTTTTATCCAAATCAGACTGTTCAAACTAGATTGCTATTCTATAAATTCCTCCCCTCCTTGTGGTGTGGAAGGCAGTGTTATTGGGAATCACCAGATGGCTGGTTACAGATGGTGTTATACATTCTATCTTCAATTAGCTCTTGAAGAAGTGCTTATTGTTAGCTGTGGTGCAGTTCTTCCTCCACACAAAAATACTACTGCTAAGACCAGCCCTGCCTGAACCTCTCTGACGAGGACTTTTGGATGTGAGTGTGTGGAAAGACTTCTCAAAAGTGTTCCCATGAGAAAACTGAAAACCCAATGCGAGTGAATGACTGTGAGTGAGCAGCTCCCTGAATTTTTACCTGCTTCCTACAGGTTATATCCAATTGAGGAAATAAAATGCTGCTTAGACTGTGGGAGGTGAGCAAGGCCTTGCAAAAGCAGAAGGAAAAGAACCTAGTGAGTGTTCCAAGGTGACAAAGCATATCACGCTTTGCTCTCCCACTCTGGTGTCCCCACTGCACCCCCATGTGCACAATCAGCACTGTCCTCTGCCAGAGACTGTGTTTCCCTGCTGAGCACTGGGGAGAGGCAGGAAGATTAGAGACATCAGCCAATGTGTTCATGCTTCTGACTCACAGGAAGGGCATCTGAATGAGTTAAGATGAGGCAATTCTACTTGGAACACCATGCTTGGAGACGCCGTAGGCATGGCAAAGACAGGAACCCCGGTGCAGTGGTAGGAAGATCTGGTTGGAGTATAAATGGTAAAATTCCCCTTTTAAAAAGCTAGAATCACTGGTTTTTATTGGGCCATTTAATCACCCATTTGGGGGGGCTGTTTCACTTGTAAAAACCCAAATCAAAAGTCTCCTAGTATTTCCATGTTTCTGTATGAAAGAGATAGGTGTGGAGGAGACCCCTGTTAGTCTTTATATTGGACTTACGTCCTCTACACCTAATAAAAAATATTAACCCTTGTAGATGCAGACTGGTTGCAAGGTGCAGGTCAATGAAGCATTAGGTCTTTTGCATCAGAAAAATATCTTGCAATGCATATTAATTTAGTATTGATTTCTCATGAAGAAAAAAACTTCTGCTTTTCATAAAAATTTGAAATGAACAAATATTGAGGTTACATAGGCTCAACAAGGGCTAGTTGCACCTTTAAGAAAAAGGCAGGAATCCCCCATGGTCCTTGAGAGCTGGGCCAGACAACATGTTCCAAAATCTGACAGCAGGAGAGAGGTGGACACAGGTCTCAGTTTCTGATGCTGCAGTACAGGCTGAGTGAGCAGATCTACCTGCCTCTGAGAAGGAGTCCTCATCTACTGGGGCCTGGGCTCCCTCTCATGAGCCAAAGTGACAAAGTCTTGGTCTTGCAGTGATATTCATGTGCATGGACTCTCATAAAAATGGGGGTTTTAAGATGCTTAATCAGAGACTTCAGTAACAGCAAATAACCAGGTGTGGAAATTAAGTACTACATGTGCAGAACAGTCCCTAAATATGTATTTAAATGTCAATAAAAGCTCTGCAAGTCCCCTGGTGCTTGTATAACCTGGCTCAACAGCTTCTACCTCCCTGGAGCCCTGTCATGGTGGCAGCCACAGTGGGTTTCCCTTTGCTTCCTGGGGCAGAAGGTTGTGAGGGGCATGGCCACCACCTGGTGCACTGCAGGTGCCAACTCAGCTGGTGCAGGCTTGGGAGGCCACTGCTCTTTGGGACTGTGGTAATCCAGGATGTCCTCTGGGAAAGCCAGGTGAAGTAGTGGGTGAAAGCTGCAGTCAGTAGTAAGCAGCTACCAAAGTTGCTGGAGAAAAAGTAAGGGAGCCTTCTGCTCTACTTCTCTCTCTCATCTGATGGGGAGCCGGTCTGGGAGCCATAAAAATTCAAAACAAGGCTTTAAACCTCATTCCTTCTTTAAACAAGGCGTACTATGCTTCCTTTCTGCTTCATTATTCTTCTTTTCAGACCTTAGAGTGATCTTTTCAGCCTTTGCAAGAGTGGAGATCTTTAAGATTTTTCTCTCCAGTATTTAACTGGATTTGAATTTAGCTTTAGTCTCTTAGTCAAACTTCTTATTTGTGATTTTGGGAATTTTTGAATCTTGCTTATAAGCAAGCAAACATTTTCATGCTTTTTCCTTGGTTGTACTTGATTATCTCATACCTTCTTCCCTTCTAGTCTTTCCCCTCGTTCACAGCCTCTCAAATCTGCCATTTTTCTGCTTTCCTCTCTCTATTTCTCTTGAACAAGGCTCCACAGGGATACAGGTAAGAAGGAAATCACTAAAAAGAGGAGGATTTGAGTTTCAACAAAATCATGCAGGCAACAGTGGTCAATACAAAAAAGGAGACAAAGGTGGAAAGTTTTTCTATATGACTAAATCAGTAAAATCAGTGTAGGCTATCCTTCATACCAAACCATGCTCAGTGTTAGTTTTGGTGGCTGGCATTTTGTCTGT